TGTCCCCTGGCAAGGACAAGCAGTGGGAGCTTTCCAGAAGACAGCGCCCAGGTCTGAGGGAGACAGAGGAGGTGATAGCATCAGCTGGGGACCCCTATTTCCTTGCTTGGCAGGTGTGGAAGGCTGGGACCTGACCTCTACAGGCAGCCTGGGTTTTTGTTTCTTCATTTTAGTTCTGAGACTGTGGCTGGGGGAGCAGAAGGCAGAGAAAGGACTGGCTCTCGCTGGAAACCCAGTCCGTGTTCAAAGGGTGCAGAGCAGAAGCAAACTGTGTGTGTGAGGGGGGGGGCTCTGTGCAAGGAGCAGCGTCAGCATTCACAACGGGGACTGTGCGGTTCCAAGTGACAAAGGAAATCTGTTTTCCCATCGCTATCTTTTTCAGTGACAACGCTCTAAATGACCATTAAAAAAAAGAAACAAAATCTAACTCAGTTAAGTCTTCCTGTTAGAGCAGCCAGCTGCCTTGGAGTCTGCTAAACTTAAACTGGTGGCAAAAAGTTGGCGTTTCTATGGGAATAGAAACAAAATTGTGCAGACTTGTGGCACAGCAGCCAGAGGGAGGAAGGGAAGGGAGCCCGGTCTCTCGGCCCCCACCCCGCCTCTGTGTGTCCCGACTCAGCTGCCTCCGGGATCAGGGCTGCACCAGGGAGAATGTTTCTGGGCTCTCCAGAGCCAGACCCAGGGCGGACCCTTGCAGGCTCGAGAGGGCTTCGCAGCTGCAGCAGGGGGCTTGGTGCCGTCTAGCAAGACCGTGCTCTGGGACATTGGGGGCAGCTCAAAACCCAGGGTGCCTTTACCAGGTGGGAGGTGAGGGGCCCTGGCACAGAGCAGGAACAGGTGAGAGAAGGGAGTTTTCAATCCTCAGTGGTCAAGCAAGTATAATGAAGAACAGAAAGATATAAAAGAAACACGTGTAAGGTAACAAGGAGAGAGCGGCTGCTCTCATTCCTAGGACTTTTTGAGGACAAAGAAATAGAACCCCAAGGTTATATCGAAGTGGAATCAGAAATTATATTTTTTACATAGGAGCCTTAAAAATAAAAAAAATCCACAAATTCAAGCACAGGAGTAAAATGACTGAGGCATTTAGTTTAGGGAACTAAGGTATGAAAAGGAGTGATTAAATTTAGACCTAAATGTCTCTCGGGACATTAAGGACAACCATGATTTTCCAGAGAAACCTTTGTGTCCGCATGTTGTAGACACCACAAGTTCTGTTAATGTCACTGGTTGTCCTTTCCTCTTTGGGTTGGCTGCTAGGAAGCTCAGAACCACATGCGTGTTCCACTTCATGTTGTGGTATGTTACTTTCTGGGCTCACGTCTGTGATGCAGAGCTATTGAGAGAATTACCAATAGGAGCTGGGAGGTACTTAATTCAAGGTAGCTATTATTATTTCATCATGGCTGTTGACTAAAATTTAAGATGAAATTTTTCTTGATAGATTTCTTATCTACAATGGGCAAAACAACTATGTTCACATCACTGAAACTTTGGGAGAGGAGTCACTCTCAAGTTTCTCAGGAGCCAGGAGTGATGAGTGGAGATTTGTTCTGTAGTGTATGGTTTTAGGGATTCAGTCCTGTGAGGTAACGGTGGCGGCCTCCATGTGCAGCCGGTCAGCACTCACCTCTCGGCACTGATCTTATTTTTTTTATGTCCTATATAGCTTCCCTCCGATTTCTTTCCTTTCTAAAAAAAGTTTCTCCTTCAAGTGTTCTAAAAAAAATTATCTTCTTTCTGAAATGATTATATATAGATATATAAAAGTATTTAAGTAATTGTCATGAGTTAGGCATTATTTAAGTATAGTTGGTATACAATCTTATATTGGTTATATTAGTTCCAGGTATAAAATAGAGATTGGACATTTTTATACCTTACCATGTAATCACTCCACTAATTCTAGTAATCATCTGTCACCTTGTAAACTTATCACAATATTATTGACTATATTTTGGAAGAGAGAGGGTGGGGGATGTGTGGAAAGGGAAAGAGGATTAGAGGCATTCTTTCCTTCTGCTGTCATGGCTTCTCCCCCTTTCCTAAGCCATACAGTGAACTAATGGGTAGCCCTAGTTCTGATTTACACATAGGTGTGTTTGTGTATTTGTGTGATGTATACAAGAGTAATATGATGTATAATATAGTGTGCAGTTGCCATACGGCTTCACCCTCAGAAGATACTGGAATTTGCCAGTTTCCGCAGGGAAGCAGGTACTCGAGTCGCCGCGGGATGGTGGCAAGGGTGGGATGGGATCAGAGCTGGGACGGGGGCAGGCATGACAGGGTTGTCACTGGGCTTTCTGAGGGACCAGGAGCCATCTTTCCATGCCCTTTGTTTGCTGATCTAAGCTCTAAGGACTAGTCTGCCTCATCCCCAGCCCCTGTCCCACTGTGGTCTGGTGGGTGTGGCCTGCGCTTCAACTTGGTGCTAGGTCTTAGCACCACAGTGGACCCGAGGGGAAACTTTCTAGCCACGCTGGTGAGTTGGTTGATGAGACCTAAGCGGAAGTTTGCTAGTGGGTTCCGGGCAGAAGTGGATTCACAGTGTAGTTTAAAAAGTTTAAGCATCAGGGTTTCTCATTTGTATGGGTTTCTTCTAGGTCCCAGCCCCTAATTTTATACTCATAATTGTATTCCTTCTGTTCTTAAAGAGAGACCCCTTCCCCAAATTTTATACTCATAATTGTATTCCTTCTGTTCTTAAAGAGAGACCCCTTCCCCAAATTTTATGATTGCCAGAGTCCCACAAAACCTGTATTTGCCTCTTATGCTAGGATATATTTTTTTCTTCCTGATCAAAGTAATAGATATATAAGAAGTAACAGATATATAAGAAGAAGCCACGTCCTCTTTTTTCTTGCTTTGGGATAATGGAAGGGATGTGATGCTTGGAGCTGCAGCAGCCATCTTGTGGCCCTGAGGGGGAAACCTAAAGAATTACAGAAGAGCTGACTCAAGGCCTTGATATCACTGAGTTGCTCATGAACCAACCCTGCAGCTGCCTACCTCTAGACTTCCACTTATATGAGATAATAAATCTCTATTATTTAAACCACATTTATTTAAGTGACCTATGACTTATAACCAAGAACATCTTGACTGATACCCCTGGGTCCCCCATCACTGTGTTAATCACTCATCAGAAAATCATGCTACAGCCAAGATACCGTGTCTGCCTACCCGATGGCTGCAGTGGCTTCATTGGTGCCTGCCCTGTCCTCCTGGAGGGCCTCTCCCCCGGCACCTCATTAGTTGTCCAGTCTCTTAACGATGACCTCTGGCTTGGCCACTGTCCTACCTAAGTGTGTTCCCCTGTAAATTACCCCAAATCACCTCTGCCTTCTTACAACCTCCCTCCGCACCGAACAGCAGCCTCTCGGGGCAGCTGATTTCAGCTCAGTATGAGAAAGTGAACAATACATGCCCCGCCATGCTAAGAAATGAGTGCCAGCCAACTGTGAATGAACTCATCTATTTGCTTTAAAAATGCAAAAGAAGTTCCAGCAGAATTTCCTAAATTGAACGAGTTCCAGGAATGAGGCCTTTGGTGCGACTTGGAAAGCTGGCTTCACACAATGAAGTTGGATAGACACCCACTCGACTGCGTGTGTGCTCAGGGCAAAGTCCTGAGAAAACTGCCACAGGTGAAGAGTGCCGTGCACCTGGTGCACTCTCGTTCCAGGTGAGTTTCAGACAGTGTGAAAAAGTGAAGAGAAGCATTTTGGTTCATCGAGGAGAGAACGTGAGGGGCAGAGGCGAACCTCTTGGAGGCTTTTAAAAGTACATGGCCTGCTCTGGCCACGAAACTCGGTTGGAGCGATGCTCTGGGAATCAATAAGCTACCGGTTTGATTCCTGGTCAGGGCACATGCCTACATTTCAGAGTTTGATTCATCGTTAGGGTGCATACAGGAAGCAGCTAGTCAATGTTTCTCTTTCTCTCCCTTCCTCTCTCTAAAATCAATTGATCAATAAAATTTTAAAATCACTTGGCCTAAGAGGCCAAGTCTATAGAGGGCGCAGCTCAGCCTGGGGTCAGCTCCGGCCAGGTCCGCTCCCTTTCCTCAGTGACCGGGTGCTTCTCTGACTGAGAGCCCACCGGAGCATCTCAGTCCTCCTGAATGACTGAATTGCATGTCCAGGAACTCCCACTGTCCCACACCCAGGTCCCTAGATGTCCCCTCATTTGCCCAGTCACTATTTCTGATCACCATCTCTGATCACCACCTGACCTCTCTGGCAGGTTCAGTACTAGGCGCAGGCTTCCTACTTTGGGGGCCTTGGCTGGTTGTGCCAACACCTGCCACGCCTTTACCTGTAGTCTGCTCTCTCCGCAGCCCACCTTCAAACTCGCATCCACAGTAACCCGGGCCCTCTTCAGTACTCTAAACAGGGCGGGACCACAGTTCCCCTGAAGGGCCAGGCCTTTGCGCGCTGGCCCAGTATCAGGAGCTGATTGAAGAGTCTGATGACCTTGGCATCCGGGCCAGTGAGGAGGAGGCCACTGATGTCCTTTGGGCACGAGGCGACCACACTTATGACCCCAAATGCAAAATAATCTCCTCTGTAACATCAAGGTGGCAAATGGGCGACCTGGATCTACAGAGTTTTGTGCGCCACACACTTCTCTTAAAGGCACAGCTGAGTGCCTTTTTGCTTTCCGCTGCCCTAGAGCCACTGCTTTGGGCCACAGCAGTTGTGCCCCTTTAAACCAAATAGGTCGTATTGTGGCCCAGGTAACTGAGTTAGGGTCCGCTGGTTAAAACAGGGCGAGTCTGGGGCCCTGCAGGCTAAACCGTGGCTCCAGGGCCGAGCCCACTGAGCCCTCTGTCTGAGCCCCTGGCCATGCCTCTTGATTCTCTCAAGAATAAAATGGGGCAATGAACCACACTGAAGGGCAAGCCGATCTTTGAAGTGTAAATGCTGAATAATCATGTATCTTTGGTTGTCTGATAGCAGTTGTCTACTGAACATTGTCACATATTTTATAATTACCTCGGTTATGAACCATCCTTCATCAGCCACTAGGGTCAAGGGAGAGACAAATCTCCCATGCTTGTAATGGAACCTGCCGGGAATGTCTTCCTTCTTGTAGGTAGTCATGTGTTCCACTGCTCTGAGTTTGTTGTATACCTGCAAAGAAAGGCAAGAGTGGCCGGTTTTTCACTCCCCTTTTAAATATCTGTGAGTTTTTGTCGGACCCGGAGGAGGAGGAGGACCTTATAAAACTAAAGAAAGAAATCAGCAAAACAAGGAATACATGTGAGTAGGCACAAATGAGAAACTTTTGTGTGTTTCAGAAAAGAAGGTGGCTTTCTGTGGTCAGACTGAAGAACCCCTCCCACATGTACACCTGGAGGTATGTAGAGGGACTGGAAAATGGAACAGCCCCAAAGCCCAGCAACAGTGGAAGGGACAAATGAATCGTGGTGTGTCTCAGGAGTGGAATACTATACAGCTACACAGAACACCTGAGAATCCTGGAGATTTTAGTTGCACACAAAAAAAAGTTGCAAAGAATACAGGCAAGGGTTTTTCTAGCATATAAAGTTCTAATAACTACAAAACTAAAGACCCTATATGATAAAACTATAAAGAGAATCAGGGAAAACATAACTCAGCATGTAGAACCCTGGTTTTCCCTGAGGCAGCCACAGAGGTGAAGGGTCGGAGGAAGGCACCCAGGAGTCAACACAGGGAGTGGCAGTGTCCAGTTTCTTACCTGTTTATTGACTACAAGGTGTCATTGTAAAATTATCCTTTATACCTTACACATACTTTATAATAATTTTTTGGTGTCTACTAAATTATAATAATTTTTTGGTGTCTACTAAATTATAAAGGAACAAATTACAAAAAGTGATGTCAAGATACTAACATACAATGAAAGGGAAAATGATGAATCAGGCATCACTAAGGTCAAAGAAAGCAGATTTGTTCTTGGACTTGACTTACAGCACGTCCTACCCACGCCTGAGTCTTAAAATCACGAGTAGTCATTGCCACCAATGACACAGCAAACACTGTACATATTCCTAGTATTTAAGAACAACTTAAGTGTTTGCGGCTAAAATTCAAACTCACCGCTGACACTGACTTGCTGGCCTTCAGTCAGCGACTCTGCGTGGCTATAACCGAATATAAATCTGAGTTTATCTACTCAACTCTGAACTGAATTGCTCTTCAGGCTGTTTAGTGGAGGGTTTCCAATGGCCCCATGAGTTACAGTTTCCTACATAAGAAAAGCAATAGTTCTTAAGGGCAGTAGGGGGCCTTTTGCCAGAAGCTTTTGGAGAGATCCAATGCCACACAACAGCTCTCTCAAACTGTTGTGTCCATCACACGACAAACTGTCACCCAGACATAGCACCCCACCTTGGAAGAATCTACCAACTGCCTGGCTCAAATACCACGCTGGAAGACGCACTTCCAGGCTCGTAAGCTGTTGATGCTGTGGCGTCTGGAAACGGCACCTTCCTGAGCGCCAGCCTGGAGAGGGGGATGCTGTTCCTGGCCAGGAGGATGGAGCTGCTCTGCAAGAAGCATTTCCTGTAGGACCTGCCAATGCATGAAGTCGCCTTCCCATCTCCTACTGAGGGAGTTCATGCAAACACATTTCGTATCTTCACTTCCTGAGGAAAAAGGGAGGTCCACCGGGGAATGAGGCAAAGCTGGGGAGGACTGGCATTGTTGCCAACTATGTCCCTCAACCCCCAATCAGACAGAGCTGAGACCCGCATGGGCAGGGGCGGGGCTGGAAGAACAGACCCTAGTGCCCCCAGGTGCTCCATCAACACCAGCAACCTTCCATCACCAATCGGCATCACTGTTTCACCTCTGTGAGGGTGGGTGGAGGCCCCAGGCCCACCCAAGTCCTATTCCTGCCCCCCCCCATGGTTGGCACTGCCACAGGCGGTGGTCCGGGTCTCCCCCCAAGGAAGACACCCTTCCTGGTCCAGAGCAATTTTCTCTGGGGCCAGCAGAATCCTGAGAGCCTGTTCTGGGAGGCAACTGGACCACATGGGGTGAGGCAGTCCCCCAAAGGTACCCCCCATTCCTCATTTTCTCGGGGTGACTCACCAAGTTCTGCCAGGTGTAATTAGAGTTTGGGAAGAAGGGTAAGTAGAGGCCTAGTCACCCCAAGGTGCTGAGTTCCTGGGGGGCAGTGACTGAGGGGAGCAAGCTTGGTCCCACACCCTTCTGGGAACCTCCTGCTTTGATGGTGACAATTATAATAAGTGACACTACATCATCCTCACGGTGGGCCCTGCATGCTTCTGTGTGCAGGCCTCACTGCAGCCCAGGAAGGAAGCTACGGGGACAGGGGCAGAGAAGTGGCAGAGGGGACGGGTAGGGAGCCGCCCGGTGGGGACAGAGCTGGACCTGAGTCCCAGCAGTGTGGGTCCCGAGATAAGGCACCAGCCACAGCACACGCAGCCTCTGCCGGCTCATTCATCACCTCCTTATCTCCGGGTCCCTGATGGACACAGTGCAGGCAGGTGGCCGTCTTCCAGAGAAAGGGCGTTCTGTGGGTGCATCTGATCTGGCCTGAGAAGTGCTGCCTTGGGGCCAATAATATTCAGGGCTAAACACTCAACATGCTAAGCGCTGTCCATCCTTGATCTCGTTTTGTTGCCACTAAAATTCAGGGCGGTCGATACCAGCACGCCCATCTCGGGGAAGAGAACGCACAGGTAGGGAGGACGAAACCTTGCCGGAGGTCACCCAGCTGCTACGGGACAAAGACCAAGCCCAGAGTCCGCCCGCCCCTCCCCGTCTCGGGCCTCTTGCCTCAGAGTGTCTGCCAGGCGCCGGCCACAGGCTCACGACAGGCCCGCGGTCCTTCACTTGCTGCAGGTCTGCCAGGCTGACGTACTGATCCAGCTCAATCACTTTGTCCATCCAGAAAATGTCGGTCATTCCGTGATCCGAGAAGATGATGACGTTGAGCTTGTCCTGCAGTTCCCGCTCCTGTGGGTGGACAGAGGTGGTCATGACAGAGCCCACAGGCAGAGAGAGAGGGGCGTGCTCCTGGAAAGAAGTCTGGTAAAGAGGCGTTTTAAACTACGTGTTGTAGGGAAAAAAACACTTCCCGATTCTGAATTTAATCATCTACTTTTTCCCCCAGGACACAGCTCGAAATCTCAGCAGAACCACTTTGCGGAGGGGCGTGGGGCAGCCCCGGCCCCATCCCAGTAGCGCTGCAGACCACACATACGGGCCTTCTACCTCCCGAGGTGCCCGCACGTTGTCATCTTTGGCTCTTCTGCCCAATGGGAGTGGTGATGTGAGAGCTGTCACTCACCCATTCCACAGGTGTGAAAATAAAGCCCAGGAAAGTTTTTAAAAACAGTACTTTGCTTAAGAGTTATTCAGCCAGGATGTGGCAGAATGAGAGAAGGGGCCCAGGCCTGGCTCCTTGCCCATGCCAAGCTGGCTTCCAGACCTACTAGGTGTGGTGCGGAAGTGGGCCATCTCGCCAGCCGAGCTGGCTGATGACGCAGGTCTGAGTCATTTCCCGCCCACTGGCCCGTCTGTGAAACGGGTCTCTTGGTACCTGAAAGGTGTGTGCGAAGGGAAGGAGAGAAGGTCCCCCAGGAGGGGGACGACAGTCAAGGAGACAGAGGAGAGTGACAAGAAGGCAGGTTAGCCTGGTGGTCCTTGTTTTCGGTCACCTGGATCCACTGGGTCATGTGCTTGAAGATGGTGTCCACAGCCTTCAGGGCGTCTTTCCTCTGAGGGGACGAGGGCCCATAGTGGTGACCTTCCACATCGATGCTCTCGTGGTATATGGCTGCCAGGTCAGCCCGGCCGCTCCTGGGGGAAGAGAAGGGGCTGTCCAGCTGAGAGAGGCCCGGCCAGCCTTTTCAACTCTCACCCAGCGGCCTGTCCCCTGTGAGGGCCATGCAAAGCTGACCCCTTAAAATGAACCAGGTGATACGGGCCAGGTGGGTACTAGGAATATCAGGGGAATTACTGTGTAAAGTACATAATCGTCTAACTACTGTGCTGGGCACCTAAAACTAATATAGAAGAATAGCCAATGGAAGACAATAAATAAAACGCTACACTTTAAACACACGCACATACATATGGTGGCGTGGTCTCTCCTGGGTGGCCCTTCCACACTCAGAACACGAGGAATGGGAGAATGTGTGTGCTCAGAACCTGCTGCACCCTGGGTCCAGCAATCCACAGGGGGCCCAAAGCAGCTGTTCACGCAGTGTGGTGTACGCGGCCTGAGTCGCACATCCTGCCCACCCCCTTGGGGAGATGTTGCCTCTTCCAGGAAGCTGGCTGTGAGGCCCAGGCTCAGCTGGGTGGCCCTTGCGGGTGCTCCCATAGTGCTTTAGGTTTGTCTCTGGCTGCGATTTTTCATCCTGGCCATCACTGTCCTTCTCACTCTCTAAATTGTTCAAGTCTTTTCCTCTGGGGGCAATGCTTCATTCTCTTAGCTCTCACCTAGGACTGGGCACACAGCGGACGCATTTATAACTGTCAGTGGAACGTATAACAACAGTAAGTGCTCAGTAAACGGTAGTTCCTCTGGGCCAGCACTGTGTTGAGGGCTTTCACAGACATCATCAATTGCCAGCACTGCTCAGCCAGGCCGAGGTGCAGCCCAGGCCCAAAGCAGGCGGGACAGACGCCAGCCTTCTGAAAGATCTCGACAGCCCACAGCGCACCCTGCTTAACCCGAATGATCCTGTGCAAGTGCTTCTCGCTCTCTTATAGGAATCCCACCAGTCCAAGAAAGCTGACATGGGACACAGTGAAGGCAACACAGTGAAACTGGGTCATTTTCCCTTCTCCACAGGCAGGCTCCTGTCTGCGGGTGGGACAAGCCTCTGAATCCTGCCACTACCATGAAAGGTGTCACTATCGAAGAGCATGTGCATGTTCTGCAGACGAGGAAATAGACCCAAGTTCTTCAAGGCCTCCCAGACCCCAGAGGCACAGCCAACTGGAGACACGGACCTGTCACCTCCAAGGTCAGAACTTCTCCAGCCTGGGCTCGAGAATGTCCCCATCTGCGTCATCCACTACACTGTCCCCAGAGAACGTTTGGTATTGTCACCGAGCAGAAACTCCATTCCTTCGACACGACCCTTTCTCCTTTCCAGCTTGTCCACTCCCTTCCTTAATCATTAGGCTCCTAGGACATCGGATTCTGGTCGGTATGAAACTGTCTTATGAGCAAAGCCTCAGGTCTCTTGACCACAGAATAGAGTTTCGGTCAAGCTGAAGAGAACGTCTTGGCTCTGGGTGCGTTTCAGCCCCAGGCCCGTGAGAGCAGAACTGACCCTGCAGACCACGCCCTCGTGAAACCGGACAGAGCAAGGCCAGGCCTGACCTCAGGACCTGAAACAATGATCATGCCGCCTACCCTGGCCCCAAGCAGCCAGCAGAGGCCACCACCCCAGTTCCTTTAGCTGCTGTGGTTAATGATTTTTCTTCTGTATAACCCATCCCCTGGAAGCCATTGGGGAGCCAGACTTAGAACCCTGGCTTACCTATGACTTGGGCTTGGTGCCATTTCCCCAACTAATAAACCCTGACTTTCTCTGCTGGGAACTCCTCCTTGCTTTTGAACAAAAGTCGCTTTAAAAGTCACCGCAAATGTGTAGGTGGCGGGTGAACGTCCTTCCTATGTATTGGCATTTTCACACATTCCCCTAAATTTTTTTGAGGCCTGGGTTCATTGCACCGATGGGTCATGGCACCTCCTCCACCACTACGTCTGAACACACAGAACCTTCCAGAACAGTGCTTTTCTCAGAGAAGCCTCAGCACGCAGATGCTTTGTGCACTTGCACGCACAGCATCCCAGGTGAGTGATTCACATGGTGGTGCCTACGTGTCGGTGCGGGGCTTGTATGCAGAGAGCCTTTCTCACACAAGGTCCCTGCTGCAGTGAAGTTCAATGAAATGCTTCTAAGTCATTTCGTCTTAGACACCTCGGGCCACTACAGCAGCCACTGGGCTGGTTTCTTTCAGGCTACTTTCCCTATTCTCAAAGCTCTATGTGATCGGAAAGCCAGAAATTCTCACAGATGTGTACCTGATGGCTTCGTGTCAGGAAGCTGTCAGGTCCAGATGCCGGCAGCACTGGGTGTGGGATGCTCCAGGATAGGGGTTCCTGCACGTGCGTCCCACAAAAGGCTTCAAGGTTGGGTCTCTCGGATTCACTAGGGACCTGCGTCTGCAGGGGCTGGGGGCTCTCGCCTGTTTGGAGTGGAGCTGACAAGCTCTTGGTCGCCAGCTGTCTTCCACCTGGGTCTGGGCTCCATCACGGGTCAGCTCATTTGTCACGGAGTGACTGGGTGAGGAGCGATGGGTGGAAATGTCTGCAGATCTGGGATTGGCTATTTATAGCGTGAAGGTCCAGGAACCATGCCAGAAGGACATGTGGCCATCAGCCCAGGTACCTGAGAGCGGCAGGGGGCCCCTAGTCCTGGGGTTTCAGGGACACACAGGTCTCCTGTCGCCTCAGGATTCTGTCCAGACCTCTTTTCAATGTAAAAAGTTCATACTGTCACTGTTCATCCATTTTCCCGACTGAAGTGGATTGGAAAGAGAGAGTCAGGGAGGAAGAAATGGAGGCAATTTAGGGAAATGGTTGCAGTTGCTGACTGTTAACAAAAAGAACCCAAAACTTACAAACAAGGCCAAAAAATATAACTGCCTGCCATTCCGGTGTGGTACAAGGGGAGCATCTAATAAGCTTGTCCACGGGTCAGCAGACGTAACTACCAGTTCAAGCCCCGTAAAGTTAGCTGCTACCCTGTAGAAGGCCAGCAGGATGACATGACTTTCATCCGATAGCTTCAGCCGTCCCCAGGATCGTCCTCGGAGTTCTTATGCATTTCTGCATCTAACCATAATTACATCCCCTGATTCTCTATCGCCCTCTTCCTTTGTCAATGTTTCTTATGATCTCCCTTTAACCAGCCTGGGCATTTCCCGATCCCCTCGGACACAAATTCATTTGAACGGCTGCATCTTTTGCCCATACTCACATAGTGAACACGTGACAGAGTTTGAATGGTGAATGTTACACTTCAGCATCAGAAGTAGAGGAGCCTGGGCTTAAATACTCGCTTCTCTTCTCTCTAACCTGGAGGCCTCCAAGTATCTCTGACCTCGCTGTCCCCCCTGACAAACCCCCTCAAGGCTATCCTGAGGGGCTGACAAGCCGGGGTCTGCAAAGGACCTGACACAGCAGAAGGGAGCAAAGGGGACGAGACAGCCTGCATTGTCCTTCCCACGCACACGGGCCTCTAGATGGCTTTGCTGAGCCTGTGTTCTCACTCCTCTTCCTCGGAGCCACAGGGAGGAGGGATGAAGGCCAGGACATTGGAGCTGTTGCTGCCATCTGGAGCCTGACAAAAGACAGCAGCTCGGTCCACCATTCCTGTGGCCCGATGGTTACTTGACCAACCTCTGGAGAGGCTGGGTCAGTCTGTCTGCCCAGCCCGGCTGGGGGGCCTGGAAGCGCAGCTGGGCCCCTGCAGGCCCACAGGGTCATGTCTGCCACCGCTCACTCTGGATGCTGCCCCGCCTGTCCCCCCAAGGCCCCCGCACCAGCTACTCAGGCTTATTGGGCTCCTGCCTCCCTCACCTTCCTCTGTTTTCTGAAGCATGAACATCCTGCAGACAGAACTTCCAGGAGGACAGTTAAGCAACATGGGTCTCAAACTGCTTCCTTCTTTGACAGCCGAGGGCCATATGGGCAGGAGTGCTGTCTGGGTGTCCCCTCTTGTGGGGCTGAGCAGACCGTCAAAGCCACCATTCCGCCTCCACCCTGCACAGGCTGCAGGCACAGTGCAGCCCAGAAGAGGAGAATGGCAAAGAAGGACCCTCCCTGTACTCCTGCCTGGCTGTCATGGCAAGATGGGTGCAAGAAAGATGGCACCGCCAGCCAAACGGTGTTGCATGATTCGGCGGTGTTTGTGGGACGATGATGTTCCAAATTCTCATATTTGGCAGGGCAGTAGACAACAGGGATGGCTAGTCTTGGCACGTGTGGGAAAGAGCCTCACATAGACATGGCCCCGGAGTCCCGAGCCCCAGCTCTGCTCATCTGCTCTGCCTGCCACGCCGCCCTGGTTGCAGTTCTGCACTCGGGGCGAGAGAACGAGAGCAGAGCGGGCGGGAGGCGGCGTCACAGAGCCTGAGTTACAAACCCCGCGGTGGAGCACACTCACCCCAGAGCTACTCCCCCAGACCCTGCTCCGTTCCTCTGCCCACTCCCCCAGTACCCTAAAATTTTAGTTTGTTCCTTCTCAGTTTTTAACTTATTTTCTCGCCAACCTGTCGCTCAGACCCCAAACCTCCAAGTGCCCCAGAGGAGACCCCACCCAGGAGACCCACTTAGTGGCCCAGGTGACCCCATGTCCGGCCGTGGGAACATAAGACCCCAACACGCTCAGCCTCTTGGTCGCTCATTTTTTGTGTAGACCCCCACCTGGTGACCCACTGACGTCCACTTCCAGTGACCTCTGAGACTGGCGTGCGGCTGTGTCCTGACCTGCTCGTCGGTCACCTGCCCTGACAAACTCTCCTGTGCCCTTCAGGACAGCGTTACTAATTTCTGCATTTTTCCAACTGTGTGCTACATTCTAATATGCTAAGTGCTTTGTACATTTCCAAGAAGAGCGTTAGAGGAAGCCGTTTTCTACACCGGTTTCGCCGCAGAGCCTCCGGTTTTGCCAGACATGCGTTAATGCCTTCTGAGATACGAGCACTCACTGAGTCACCGCCTCTCTGAGGCATTACTCCACCTACACCAAGCCTTCCTAATTCCTGTTGGCATTCGTGTTGGGTCCTGGAAACAAGGGCAAACAGTGGTGCAGCTGGGGATCTGGACACTTACTTGAAGGAGTCGAGGGCGTCGCTGATTGCGTTGGCGAAATTGATATCCGTCGGGACGTTTTTGTATTCTAGGCAGTACGTGGGTCTGAAGCCAAGAATCTCAACCTCACAGCCTAGGAAGGAAAAAAACGGCCCACGGTTACTTTCCTTAGGAACTGAGGGAAGGGCTGCGAGCCTCTTTCGGGAAGTCAGCACCATTACTCAAAGCAACATTTTGCTCATTTTCATGAGATGGTGGGACTCTGTGCTGAAAAGTGGTGGAGTTGCCCGTGATCTTGTTTAACTGGAGCAGAGGTCCTGGAGGGTCATTGCTACGCAACCCTGGTGTGTCCCCTGCCAGGGACTAGCAGAAAGGAGTCAACAATTGTCTTTCCCAGCTCCCAAACTTGAAACGAAAAATTAGTTGATACCCAGAAATGTCTCCATTAAAACATTTTTTCTATAGATTTGTTCATGACTACTACTTCTCCTAAGGTACCTTTGCCTATTCTAGAATTCAGTATTAGGTGGTATCCTGTTATTCCAGGAATAATAAAATATGTATTTCCCTAGTCTAACTGGACCTAGAGGGATGGCCCTAGATGAACTAGCCTAAAAGTCAAGTGCAAGCAAGGGCTCTGAGCCATGACCTTGACCCTCCCCAAATGGAGTAAAAGAATAAAAGGCATTCAACTGTTAGGAGTCGCTACAGCCCCATATTCTCTGCCCCAGGCCCCTGGAAAGTAGAAGCAGTTGCCCTGAGGAAGAGACACCCAACCTTCTCAGCATATAAGGCAGGAGAAGGATGAGCCAGTTTCAGCGTGAGTGAGTTGGGCACATTTACTGGGCACCTACTATGAACTAGTCCCTATGTTCAGACATGGTGGAGACAGAAATCTATCAGCCAGAGTCTCCAACCTGGAGCATCCCAGAGGAGTCCTGTCTAAGTGAGGCACACACTTACTGGGTGGTGTGGGGCCTTGGATCAGGTGCACTTCCTCCTGGAAGCCTTCCTTGAATGCCCACATTGGGCTCAGTCTTACAGATGGCATCTAGTCAATGCATCGGGGCAGAAGGTGGCCGTGGAGGCAGGAAAGAAAAGAACATCCCAAGCAAAGAGAGCAGCAGAAGCAAAAGTTCAAAGTTAGAAACAATAAGGTGTGTGTAGAGAGCTGTCAGCATAGCACAGTTCCAGACGAGGGCTATGAGGAGACCAGATGGTGAGCTTTTTGTGGCGCAGGGAAAATGATTTCCAAGGTGGAAGTGAGTCAACGTGGGACAAGCCGGGAATGTGGGGAGAAGGGAGTGTCTCTGTCAGGAAACCCATTAAGCCGACTCCTGGGTGCATCTGGTTACAGCTGGTAACATCTGGTCTACAGTTGGCCACAGCTGATTTATTAGAAGGTGGGGCAGCCTCCGAGAAGAACTCCTTAATCCAGCGTACCACAGCAAGCCCTGAGAGCTCCAGGGAGACCCCAACACTCTCGGCCCGGTCTGTTGGGTTCGGGGAGCGCAAGGCTGTCTAAGACAATTAAGAGAGACCTAGAAGGCAGGCAGCTGCCCTTCCAAGACTTCTTAGTTGAGTAGGATGAACAGTTTAGAGGTCCCCAGAGTAAATCCTGCCCATGAGTTCCTGGAAAATATTCATTGCTGGGAGAAATGCCGGCAGGATCTTGCCCAGTTATAGCACTTGAGATACCTGTGTTTTACCGGTTGAAAGTTATTTGTGGATGTTTATTGCTCTCTCAGAGATACTTATTCAGCCGTGTGTGAGTGGGCCCATGCTTTGTATCCACTTCACACTCAGTGTCAGCAACCCAAATGCAAACCAAATGGGGTCTTGTTTAAGACCCCACCTGTCCTTCAAATGATTAACAGCGTGCACAGTGTGGCCAGCTACCACCTCTGACATGCGAGTTTGCAAGTAATAGAATTTTGACCATGGGTTTCAGATACAAGAAACTACACACTTTTTGTGTGTTTGTATATTATCAAACCATAAGGGGGAACATATCATTGGCTACACTCTCTCTTGGAGCTTTTCACACACTGTTCAGCATATAATAAAAAGTCACGAGCAAGGCTGAGATACACTGAGATGTACCTCATAATTAAGAGAAAAATAGTCAACAAAACCAAATCCACAGATGACACCAATGTTGGCCAGAAAGGGTAAAACATAAAAGAAAGTTTCCTTAAAATATTGTTGGCTATTTAAAACAAAATTAATAGCAATATATTATGGGGTCAACAACATATGTAAAACTAAATAAAAAAGATGACAATAAGATTATAAAGAATATATACAAACATGTGGCATTCTAAAATTCAAAAATTCTAACATTATTTGTGAGGTCATATAAGATTTCAAGTTCACTTTAGTAAGTGAAGGATGCGTGTTGTTATGTCTAGAGCAGCCATTAGAAAAAAAATCTGAAATCAGTGGGGAATATACAATAAGATTCTAAAAGTACTTCATGTAGAAGAAGACAAACATTGAGCTACAAAGAAATTTAAAAAGAAATTAAAACAAATTAAAAAACAATACACAAATAGTAGGCTTGATTCTAACCATATCAATAATTATATCAAATGCAAATGGATTAAACACTTTATTTAAAAGTGAGAGATGGTCAGACTGGATAAAAATTTAAAACTCAAATATATGCTACCATGTAGAGAAATTAAAAAAAATATATATATATGTATATATATATATATGTATATATATTATATATATATATATATATATATATATATATATATATATATATAAATGCACTGACTGGTTAAAAAGAAAGGGCTGGAGAAACATTTTACCCTGGACCAATAAACACAAACCAGTGGCTATGGCTACGTAGCCAGGTAGATTCCTACAGAACATGAAGTGATGGAGAAGATGGGCGCTGGTACTCATGGGATTTTCGGACGGGACGGTGAAGACTACGTAGCGGGCTGTTCTACTGACAACTGCAAGCAGCTGTAACACAATGGCAGGTACAAACACGGTACAAAAGATAAACAACGGTGCACCTGTACAGGGCACTCACATGAACGGAGCTCGTGGGACTGGAAGTTGCTCTGGCTGAGCCAGGGAGTGAGGGTGAGGGACTAGGGTATGACTGTACACACCTGTAGACTTTATGAGCACCGTCCATTCACGCTGCACCAAATTCACGAAATATCTTCTTTCTTTACTAATTAGCCTTAGTTCATGATAACATTTTTAATTTATAAACTTCTAATTTTTAAGCTTTTTGACTCATTTATAATAACACTTAAAATGCAAACACATTGTACGGCTGCAAAAAATATTTTCTTTCTTTATATCTTTGTTTTATAAGCTTTTTTCTGTTTGCTTTTTTTAAATTTAGTTTTTATTGATACTTTTTAAACATTTTTGTTAAAAAAAGTAAGACAAAATCACAAATATGTCCTTTACGCCTGCTGGCAATAAATTCAGGCTTCTTCGTTTCTAGAAAAGTCCATTATTTTGCTTTTATTTTTGAAAGATATTTTTGCTGGATATAGAATTTTGTGTTGATCTGTGGTTTATCATAGCACTTGGAGGATATCATTCCATTGTCTTTTTAGATTCCAATGTTTCTTTTGTAAAGTCCACTGTCAGTCTTATTACTGCCCCTTTGAACAATTTCCTCTGACTGCTTTTAAGATTTCCTCATTATCTGTGGTTTCCAGCAGTCCTTACATTTGTGATGTTCTCGCCCAGGTTTCACAGTGCTTCTGGAATCTACGGTTTGATATCTCTTATCTGCTTGGGGAGCCCTTGGCCATGATCTCTCAGATATTACCTGTGTCTCACTCTCTCTGTGGGTAGGTCTTCTATGGCCTTTTCACTAGGTCCTGCATGTCTCTTATATTCTTTTCTACCTTCTTCATCTCTTTTGCCTCTTCACATTTAAACTGGGTAGCTGTCTTCAGGTCTAGAATTCACTTTCTAAGAAAACAATTCCAGGTGTGGAATGAGTGCGACTCAGTGGAGTGAGTGCCGGACTACGAACCAAAGGGACAGCAGTTCGATTACCAGTCAGGGCACATGGGTGGGTTGCACTCCAGATCCCCAGTAGGGGGTGCGTGAGAGGCAACTACTCACTGACATTTCTCTCCCTCTCTTTCTCCCTCCCATCCCCTCTGTCTAAAAATAAATAAAATCTTAAAAAAAAAATTCTAGTTTACTACGGGCATGCACCCACTCTGTCATTCAGTTCCTTCATCATGGCGCTCCTAGAGTCCATGTCTGACATCAGGACCATCTCTTGGTCTATTGTCTGTTTTTTCTCTTGATCTTTCAGTCGGCTCTTGTTTTCCTATATTCTGGTTATTGCTTGCAACTGAATGCTGCATACCCTATATGTAAAATTATAGGCATCCTTGACACTTTGTATGTTATCTTCTTGTACACTCTTGTTCACGATGTGCCCCCAGGCTCTGGGCAGACAGACCATCCCAATCCAGAGTGGATTTAGTCAGAGAAGGTGCAAGAAATCTTCATCTCTTTTCTATTTCTATTCTTATTCCTAGAATGTTTACTGCCTTTTCATGTCCAGCTGGCAGCCGGGGTGTTTACTAGGTCTCTTCTCCTTGGTGGTCTGTGAACTCAAATTGTTGTCATTACCCTCTCCGCTCACTCTTTCAAAGGCTCCTCACCTGCTGCTTTTGAGACCAGTGTTGGCCTGGAAGGCAGACACGCTGCCGATTGCCAGACACACTGTTTCTCTAGGTCCTGGTGCGCCTCTCATCCATCACACACCTGCACCCAGCCCGGCGACCTTGCTGGTTGTTGTTGGAGGAAAGAGTGGTTTCAGAACAGCCGATCCTGGCATTCTCCCAAGTGGAACCCTAAATTTCAATAAATAATGGTCAAACCTAAAAAGTGACATTAAAAAAAATGAATCTCGTAATGAAAGACATAGGTGTGCTTTTAAAAATTAATTCATATATCCATGGATGAATATGACTGATCTCTAGCGTGAGACACGTTCAGAATCCATTCTATTTTTACTTGTTAAATGGAAGTATTAAGGAAGTTGTTCACATAAATAAGTAGATGGAAATAAAGGTGGCTTGTTGTACCAATGGCATTTGATTCTTTGAAGTGTTTCTTGTAATGCCA